CCCCCCCCCCCCCCCAAGAAAATGTTGCTGTGTGATGAAAAGATATTACATTGGTCATTTACATGAACACATCGTTGGGGCATAAGGTTGTAGGGGTGATTGATGTAAGCTCAGAGGGCACATAACTGATAACTCCTATCATAACATTTACCCATTGAGCTGCAATGCACCCCAGTGCACCCTGCCACCCTGCTTTTTTTTGTTTACTTGTCTAACGCCAGACGATTTTATTAGTCGATGGGGAAGCTCTGCAGCTTAATGGGTTTAACAATTTGGAACACCAGATATACTGGATGGCAATCTGGCAATTACTTAGTAACTATACTGTATGTTGCTTCCCTTGCACTGGGAAGGTACCTTGTGACCTGGCCACTTTTGATTATTATACCATTAAGCCTGATTCTGGTGTCTCTGGTTTGGAGTTGAGTCACATTGTTTTGTTTTTCCCATCATTGTTGTGTTCAAAGTTACAACATATAATATATTCTTGTTTATTCTAGAATTATCTCACAATTGGGATACCATAATTTGGAATTTGGTTTCCCAATTAACCCATAGAGTGGCTCTCCTATTGACAAGTAAAAGTAGAGCAGGCAAAATACAGTACCAAGATGTATGGAAATTGAAGACAGAAAAGATGGATTAATTTTGAACAATTTTAATTGGACTTCTTCAATAGAATTATTAACAATGAATTATTTTAAATTAACACTAAAATTATTGTAATTATTATAAGTGTACATGATGTAGTGGAGTATATGTTAACTTAATTCAGGGCTGGATTAATAGGGGGTGCACACCCCTGTTGGCCTTGGTCAACAGGGGTGCAATAAAATCAAATTCAGAAATATGGCATAATTTCCAAGGTTTTTCCTTTTTTGAAGTCAAACTGAAGCTCATAATTCAATGTCCATATCACAGGAAATGGCATTTCTAGGGTTTTAATTTTCAAAATTTTCTGGGGGCATATCCTTGAACCCCATAGGGAGTTTGTGCCTTTGGTGTTTGAGTCGTTAGGAAGCCAATTCATTTGAATGCTCTCCCACCACCCCTTAAAGAATTATAAAGAAACACTTGGCTGCTCACCCAGCACCCCCTAGAAAAATCTTGCTGTCAGATCCACCCCTGACTTAATTAATATTAACTTAATAAAGGTTTATACTTTTATATGTTATCATCATCATCATAGACAGATTTTCAAATTTTGCTTGGGGAGTTGGGGTGTGGGTGTGCAGAAAAATTCAGGGGTGGAAAGTGAGCGAGGAGCACGTAGTATGCTGAGTAAGATACAGCAGAGTCTGAGGGTACAGTCACTAGTGGGGACAGAGTTGGGATAAGGTTGGGGGCAATGACCCCAGGATATTTCGAGATTATTGGCCTTGTTTTTTAGTCTTATTTAGTTCAAAATTCTTGTTCAATTATACCATGGATTGTAAAATAATGTATTTTATTATCCATGATTATACTGCTGTCATTTAATCAAACCAGCATTTAAATTTCTGGGGTGGGAAAACTTTCTGAGGTGATGAAAATATTTTTGGGGGTGCACACCCCCCCCAGAAAATCCATCAATGATTGCCATCAGATAATTAAGTTATTATGGTATTAATATTATGACTTCACTTTTGGCTATTCTGCATTTTAATGCCTTGTCCCATGTTTTGTGATATATCTATAGCCAACAATTCCTGCAAGATAAAAGACAACAATCATATTACACTAATATTATTACACATTCTTCCACCTGAAAAACAGTATTTATTACCAAAAATTGTGGATGCATGCTTCTTCTCATCCACAAAACTGCATATACACTTAAGTATACACTTAACTGCATATACACTTAAGTTACACTTTACAAGGTTTTGTATGACCTTTATGTCCAATATTGAAATATTTGCAGTTCATTTGACATGATGTCAGATGAGTGAAGTCAGTGAACGAGTGTTGAATTTTGACAAAATATTTTTATAATTTCGTACTATCGTCCCATGAATCTTACCTGTGAAAAGAATTACTCGTCCTTTATGAAAAGTAAATTGTTGCATCAGCAAGCGGAGCAAAACGGCACTTTAATTCCTTCCAAGTTGTAAAAAACCCCAGCAAAATACGAGAAAATATTATGTTTTTAACTAAAAACACTTCCAAAATCAGGGGGATGAAAACGTCGTCTGAAGCTCAGGATCGCGGTTGGTCAGTGGCAATTCTGTGAGAATTACGGACCAGTTGTCATGGAAATGGCGTCAGCAAACGTCAAAATCCGCCATTTTTTTGGCTTCACTTCGTTGACTGAACGAAGTATAGGAGCAGGTCCTCCAGTTATTATACAGCTCAGTGGTTCTAGCCAATAAAAAGCGCATATTTAAATTATTTGACTTAATTATTCAAATGTCACAGTAATTAGTCTTTCGACTTTAAAAAACATGTATATAAAATAAACATTAAAACAAAGTCATTTCAAAGTAGAGAATATGGTTCTTCCGGAAGACGCAATACTAAATATTGGCAACAGAGGCGCACTGTTGTTTAACTAAGTTAATTTTCTAAACTAAAGCGGCATTTGTCCCTACAAGAACGGCAAATAACATTTGTTAATATTACTGTATTAAATAGTTAAATGTTTTCACAAACATTCGTCTTTTTATGTGCAGGAAAGACTCGCCGTCGCTTATCTACATCTCCATGTCTTTGCCGCATTGAAGACACAACGTCGGTCATAGAATTTGGGGGAAAATCATCTTGAAACCGTTAAATAAAATATAGATCAATATAGCCATAGAAAGAAGTATCAATCTACCGTAAATATATACGGCATTTTGCATGGTCTAAAATTGATATAATTTTGTCCAACCGCTTATGCTATTAACAGTTATTGTCACCAGAAATTACTGTGTTTTCAAATTTGAGCGGAGATCTACGATCGAAAAGTCAAAGGAAAGTCTATTTACAAATTGAGCTGAAATCGACAACTTTTGCGAAACGTACATGCGTAATCAGAGATTCGTAATAATTAACTGCAATAATTTCGCGCCAGAATTTTTAATCCGATCCAAATTCCTGCAAGCGAGACAAGTCGATCTCGCGGCTTCGCCGCTCACCGACTTGTGGGCAAGTCTAGATAGTAACTTCTAGTAATACAAATAACGACGATGGCTGCTACGCATGCTAGAAATTAGATGGGACTTAGCGCGCCCGCGTAAATAGTCAATATCGAGCGAGATAATTAACGAGTTTGAGGGACTGTGAAAGTGTCAGGGATGTATTCACTTACCTTTTCCAAACCTGAACACAAACTTTATGTGCTTTCCTGTCATTAAAATAGCTATTTGCAAAAGCCTTTGTTACAGAATCTCCTATGAAATAAATAGTTTCTTTTGAGTGATTGGAATGTGACAGAGAGTACAAACTATGGTTATCTGATTGAAGAAATGGTGCCCATTCATTTCCAATCCATCTGCCAAGACCAGTCCAGATGAAGGAGCACTTTCTTGCGCAGTTTGACTTTAGTCTGTTAGAACAGCTACAGTAAACAGAAAAACATTTGAAGATTATAATAACAAAAACCATATTATACTATGAAAAATTGAAAAAAAGCATTAAGTACCGGCACGGAATTAAATGGGATATGATTCAACTTTCATCCCATTGCGAACTGAGTTACTTCCATATACTTGCATATAGTAAAATCTGGCTCGTAACCAGTCTCTGTCTCTGGAAGAAGTTTGAAGAAGTAATGGTGCATGATAGGAATGATTGAGGTAAAAGTCCACTGATCTATTTATGTACGCACAATGTATAATTATAGCATATTTTGTGTTCAATATATAGATCACAGTAAGACTTTTTTTAAATGTTTATTTAATTAACAAACGACGTTTCGGAGATTTACTCCATCTTCAGGTAGTTAATAGGATTACATAAATGATCAATTTCACTTTCACTGTAATCCTATTAACTACCTGAAGATGGAGTAAATCTCCGAAACGTCGTTTGTTAATGAAATAAACATTTAAAAAAAGTCTTACTGTGGTCTATATATTGAACACAAAGTATACTATTAACATGAGACTTAGGGAAAGTTCGTTCCTAAACATTATAATTATAGCGTTGACGACTGGGAACGAGAGAGTGGTAAAATATAGTAAAAAAGCTTCATGATAATAATTGGGAGCAATTAAACTAAAAATAAAATATACTGTAACTGAATTATTCAATAGTTTTCGTGATATATATTAAAAAATTATTCACCGAAGTGGAGGTGTATAGTACAAGGATATTCATCGAAATGTGAAGCGTTGAGGTGAATAATTGTTTATCATATATCATAATAAAACAAATATTGTAATATATGCTCATATATAGTAGGTATATATATACATCAATTAGGTTGATTGACAGTTCACATCATAATCACTAGCAAATGTAATTGTAATAGGAACCTCAAGGGCACTCGCTAGAACACCTAGACATAATCAGACGTGTATCTTTTACTTATGAATAAATCTTCTATAAGCACATAGAAGCATTACAAATATGACCAAAAATTAACGCAAATATTTTTAAAACACTTTATTTCAAATTTGTATTTCCACTCCCGTAAGAGTTGTAAACAAAAACAAAACAGCTTTTAGTTATTTTATTAATTAGAAATAGCTTAAAACGAAACCGCCGCTTCGTTTAGTACCAACAACTGCTTCTCCATTTTATCCGGGGGTGGATAGAAACGTGATACATTCGGATTTATAACGCATGAGCTTGCTCTCACCAAGGCATGTGGTACAACACGATGACATCTACGCATCCAGACATGTACAGAGTGTAATAGGGGCCAGGAGTGCTTTATGCTGTTTGTGTTGCTTGTTGTGACAGTAATTGCCTTGTATACTATGTCCTTAGTCTTGCATTTTTCCTGGAGTGGGCATGCGTTCCTACAGTTGCAACTGTCTGCGTCTTCGCTCTGTGGCAGGTTTTTCCTAATTGTGCGTGCATTAGTAGTTATATCTCGGGTTTAATGGACCCCATTATATACGCATAATTAGCCTAGTTAATTTGCATAATCGATGACGTATTTTTCGAAGGTTCTCCGATGATGGTAAAACAACGAGAGCTTTCCGATTAGTCGCCATTTTGTTTCAAGATGGCGGAAGGGTTAATAATGAGGGTTTTATGCACCTATCAATGTTTTCCCCCTGAGGGGGGGGGGGGGCGGGCAACCCAGGGGAATTTTGACATTTTTAAAATTTTGTCGTCAAAATCCCCACTGTTGGGCAAGGAACGGCTGTCAAAATTCCCCACTATATTCCTAAGATAACAAGGCACACATATGTTTTCCAATGCGAACATACAGTCTATACTGGTTTAAACTTGGTAAAAATTGAGACACCGTGTATAAAATACCTTTTTCGATGAAACTCGATCATGCTTCTCCGCCATACTTGTTACCAGGCTTTTTAATGTCAAAACCGCGCAAACTTTCAAGATGGCGGATGTCAAAATTTCCCGACTCTGGGAGTTGATGCATAGGTCAAATTCCTTTCCCTGGTGCTTCATAGTGTGGTCAAAGTCCCCTGGATCGCCCGCACCTCCCCCTCAGGGGGAAAACAATGATAGATGCATTAAGGGAAAATAACATTGAATTGAGTGTGAATACTTTTCGTTTCCATTTAAAATTGCTTTTGGAAAAGCATGGGGGTTTATTTGAAAGCATGATAGCTCGTGTTGGAAGAGAGAACGTACTTGAAAATTTGTGTGTAATCTATCAGGAGTTAGAACCTTCAAATTTTGGTAGAATTATTGTTTACTTGACTTTAGTTTTTAAAGTTAGTGATTTTTTGTGAGCCCTTAAATTTATCACAAATGTGTTGAACCAGTTTTAAAAATGTAATTTTAAAAGGAGAAAAATAGTAAAAATTAGTGCGGTCATTAAACTTTAAATACTTAGAGCATCATCAGTTTGTTTTCATTTGCGTTGGACTGTCATGGAGCCAAAACTAAAAGCTTGTTTCTGCTTGCAGATTTCTGGCCCAGGTCAGGCAAAACCGTTTGGGCAAAAAAGTTTCTTGAAAACTTACCGCAAATGATTAACCGAAACGTTGATCAAATCATATATTGTTATGGGGAATATCAGCCTATTTTTGACGAAATTCGACAAAACATGCCAGAGATACAATTTTATGAGGGTTTCCCTGATGTCAAAGGCATAACTGATCCGTCCTTTCATACGTTAATGATCATTGATGACCTTCAAAATTAATTATTGGATAACTTAGAACTTGCAAATTTGTTTACCAAAGGTTGCATCACCGTTCCATTTCAGTAATATTTTTACAGCGAGCTTTATTTAATAAGGGGAAATTTTCTCGCCTATGTTCGCTGAATTGTCACTATATGGTTGTTTTCAAAAGCCCTAGGGACCAGACAGTTATTTCGACTCTTGCCCGCCAAATGTATCCCGGATGTGGTCAATATCTAACTGAGGCTTATAAAGACGCGACCGAGGAAGCATATTCCTACTTGTTAATAGATTTGCACCCTCAAACTGAGGGTAAATATAGATTACGTGCAAAAATATTTCCAGATGAGCGGCAGGTTTTTTACGTTAAAAAGTGAAGCTTTTGTGTGTCCCAGTTATTTTGCCATGTCTGTTCACATGAGAAAGAACGTCCACCTACTTAAGGTTTTACATCAAGCAAAACCGAAGCTGCGTAAAGCAATGCTGAAACATTTAGAGCCGAGTTGCATAAAGGCAATCTGTGATTGTGTATTGAATATTTTAAAGAGTGTAGTTAAAATGTCACCAGTTCAAAAGAGGAAGCTAGCTAGGCACAAAGATCATTTAAGGGTGCTTGTCAAGAAAGGTACACCATTGAAAAAACGACGGCAAACGATTGTTCAAAAAGGGGAACGCTTTCTTACTTTAGTGTTGGGACCTGTTTTAAAAGAACTAGCGTCGCTCATAGAATAGAGACATGAAGCATTCACGAAAAATGATTCTGATACCGGAAAATAATTTGGATAATTACTTACGTCAGCAACGCTTAACGACTCCGCCGACTGTTGCAAAAATGACACAATTAGATGGTGAAATGAAAACTGTTTTAGACAGAAATGACACTTCCCAAGATGAAAAAGCAAAGCTCTACAGTCAAATATTAGAAAACTATCTTCATTTCAAAGGGAAACGAAATGTCAAGGTCACAAAACCAGTACCTATAGCATTTGCGGGGGATGCGGGGAAAAATGCAGCGGCAAGTGTTCCCAGTACACGGGAGGTGATTAACAAGGAGCAAAGCGTTGGCTCTATTGTCGAAATTCTTCCGAAAACACTTCAATCAAAAGCCAAAATGATTTTAGAAAAAATTAAAGATAATCCTCAAGTCCTAAGTTGGAATGAAAAAGGCGAACTGAAATATCAAGGGGAAACAGTGCCAAATACCAATATTACAAACTTAGTTAGCGATTCTCTTAGGCACAGAAAAAATAATAAACCGAACGTATTTGAATTATTTACAAAAGGTCTTCAGCAAATTAATCTTCCGGAAGATTTAATTCGCAACCCTGAACGACTACAACTCTTTAAAACTTACGGTTATGAACCTATAGCTTTTGCAGGGGATGCGGAAAAAAATGCAGTGGCAAGTGTTCCCACTACACGGGAGGCGATTAACAAGGAGCAAAGCGTTGGCTCTATTGTCGAAATTCTTCCGAAAACACTTCAATCAAAAGCCAAAATGATTTTAGAAAAAATTAAAGATAATCCTCAAGTCCTAAGTTGGAATGAAAAAGGCGAACTGAAATATCAAGGGGAAACAGTGCCAAATACCAATATTACAAACTTAGTTAGCGATTCTCTTGGGCACAGGAAAAATGATAAACCGAACGGATTTGAATTATTACTCGCTGGGGCACCCTGTGCCCCAGACGAGTATATGTTTCGGCTCACATTTTTCTCCGATAGTGGATTGCGATCGATAGCCACAAAATAGAATATTAATGAGCTAATGGTTCCTTTTCAAAATGGCGGGGACTTTCCTAGAGTGGCAAAATGTTTCAAACAATTTCGTAAAAATTTTGAATCAATTGTACCTGTTTTCTATGGATTTTGCGTTGTGTCTAACTCTGGACATTCTTGCTAGTTTATTTAATGCATTTTTCTTGGTGCACGACTCTGAAAATCCGAAATTTGGATCGTTGAATTCCCGTGCACGATCATAATAAATATACTGAACCTGAATATAAACGAGCCAAGGACAATTTCAAGGTAAAAGGTTATAACTTAAACTGCACAACGTAGTTTTAATAAATAACTACTTTATGAGAAGCATATTGGTGTCATATCAATATGAAATTTGAGAAAACATGAGATATCATGGCGGCCAGACGTGTTATGGCGAGCTCTGATATTATTCCACCATTATTTGATAAATCTCGTAAAGAAATAGTTAATTCATCAACTATCGGTATTGATTTTCTTGGTAATGCTTTAAGCAACGATCTTATTTACGAGGGCACACGTTTGAAATGGTGCAATGACTTAGATTCTCTTAAGGCGTTTGTTGCCGAAGTGCTTGACCTAAACGGGAAATGGTGTTCTCCTGGAGGTGGGTCTAAAAGGTTCACAAGCTCCAATGCTGAACTAACTTTGACGTGGTATTCAGGCAAGCAAAACACTTTATTATTTCAAGGCAAAGATGGCAACCTAATTCGGGATGGATGTGTCAAATTCTGTCAGACACGGGACGGTGTTATGAAGTCGAGTTGTAAACAAGTGCAAGCCCTGTCGAAAAATTCAGAGTTACAGCGGGATCTCATTGCTCCAAATATTTTGGAATCTGAGCCTACATCTATATCGAGACCGGCCAACCAAGTTGATGTTGCATCACAGGTATGTCTAGACATTATAGGAGATAATTCCAACTATTTGTCGAACTGTCGCTGTTCGTGTGGCGTTCTAGCTGCTGACGTTGAGGGAGTTAAATTAGATATTACTATCCTATCTAACAGAATCGATTCGATTGCAAATGCTAATACTGAATATTCTCACAAAGATAAAGAAATTGATCGTCTTCGAAGTGAACTATCGATTGAGAAGGCGAGATCTGAAAAGCTTGAATCTGAGTTGAGTTTGTTTGTGAAAGAACGATCCCTTGAAATTGAAAAGTTGAATCAGACTATTGTTTCCCTAGAGAATAAAATAATTGAGCATGATAAATCTAATGCCTCCCTAAAATTATTCATTGACATTGATCAGCAGAGAATTTCCAAACCTCAAATCCCTGAGCAAAGTAATTACAAACAAAGTGCATCTCCATTTGCTGCTCCAATGAATAATAACAATAGTAAGATTAATAAAAACACACTTATGAACAAAAACAACAGAAATGGTCACCGAAACAATGGTCATCATAACAACAGTGGGTTAAATCAATGCAAATCTCAAAACGTCAGTTTACAACCTTTCATCTCTGTTCCTGTAAATAATGGGGACCCTGAAAGTGTGCCGTTTTACGATACTAATAGGGACTTACAAAACAAGGCACTACAAATCAATCAAATTGCAAATATGCCCGAAAAGCAACCAATATCGGATTGGATTGGTTCCCTACCGTTAATAGAGATACCTATCCAAGCGAAAAATAATCAACATATTAATAGAAATACCTCGAACAAGCTTCCTTTTCCCAAGCGCCATCGAACGAAACCACCATCCTATCGAACGGGCCATCGCCACCAATCCCTCGAATGGCTGAGCCATTTGGACATTGTATACCAACTGTGCAAGAGGTAGGAAACGTGACGACTATGTCTATTCCTACACGAATTACTGCACGCAAATCCCAACCATTTTTTACAACTTACCAAAATCACCATAGACCTTGTGGCTCTGACATACGAAATCTGAAAAATATTGTCGTGCACAAACCTAATGCCTGTATTACAAAGTCTGTAATGTCTTCAACATCAACTTTAAAAATAGGAAACAATTTTCAAAATACTAGGCTCAAAATCGCTCATCTAAATATCCGCTCACTTAAAAGCAATACACATCTTACCCAACTCAGAGATTTGGCGCGTAGAGAAAATTTTGACATTTTAACAATATCTGAAACATGGCTAAACACCAGTGTTTCGTCTGCCGAAGTAAGGATAGACGGATATAATCTTTTCAGATTGGATCGTCTTAATAAACGCGGCGGTGGTGTATGCACGTACGTTCGCAAAGAACTTAAATCATCTGTTTTAAAATCCTTAACTTTCATTTCCGAAGAAAATTTCCATCAACCATGGATAAATGTCCAGTGCCAGAAATTTAAGTCGCTCATAATTTGTGTAGCCTACCGACCACCTGACTGTCCTCTGCACTGCTTTGAACATACATTAAAACCAAATTACATGGAAGCTCTTGTATTAAACAAATCAATCGTGATCCTAGGTGATCTAAATTGTGATGGATTAAAGGATAATTGTGTAGAATATAAAATTATGGATAGATTTTTAAATGAAATGAACCTCACTCAACTTATTAAATCGCCAACGAGGATCACTGATGCAACTCAATCATTGCTAGATGTTATCCTAGTGTCGTCGAAGTCAATAGTGTACCGAAGTGGA